TGTATATCTTCTTTGGAGAAATGTCTGTTTAGGTCTTTTGCCCATTTTTGGACTGGGTTGTTTGTTTTTTGTTATTGAACTGCATGAGCTGCTTTTATATTTTGGAGATTAATCCTTTGTCAGTTGCTTCGTTTGCAAATATTTTATCCCATTCTGTGGGTTGTCTTTTCATCTTGTTTATGGTTTCCTTTGCTGTGCAAAAGATTTTAAGTTTCATTAGGTCCCATTTGTTTATTTTTGTTTTTATTTCCATTTCTTTAGGAGGGTCAAAAAGGATCTTGCTGTGATTTATGTCATAGAGTATTATGCCTATGTTTTCCTCTAAGAGTTTTATAGTGTCTGGCCTTACATTTAGGTCTTTAGGTATATTTATAATTGTTATATTTTTTTCGTGGATTGATTCCTTGATCATTATGTAGTGTCCTTCCTTGTCTCTTGTAACATTCTTTATTTTAAAGTCTATTTTATCTGTTATGAGTATTGCTACTCCAGCTTTCTTTTGATTTCCATTTGCATGGAATATCTTTTTCCATCCCCTCACTTTCAGTCTGTATGTGTCCCTAGGTCTGAAGTGGGTTTCTTGTAGACAGCATATAGATGGGTCTTGTTTTTGTATCCAGTCAGCGAACATCTGTCTTTTGGTTGGAGCATTTAATCCATTCACACTTAAGGTGATTATTGATATGTATGTTCCTATTACCATTTCCTATTACCATTTTCTTAATTGTTTTGGGTTTGTTTTTGTAGGTCCTTTTCTTCTCTTGTGTTTCCCACTTAGAGCAATTCCTTTAGCATTTGTTGTAGAGCTGGTTTGGTGGTGCTGAATTCTCTTAGCTTTTGCTTGTCTGTAAAGCTTTTCATTTCTCCATCGAATCTGAATGAGATCCTTGCCGGGTACAGTAACCTTGGTTGTAGGTTCTTCCCTTTTATCACTTTAAATATATCGTGCCACTCCCTTCTGGCTTGTAGAGTTTCTGCTGTGAAATCAGCTGTTAACCTTATGGGAGTTTCCTTGTATGTTATTTGTCATTTTTCCCTTGTTGCTTTTAATAATTTTCTTTGTCTTTAATTTTTGTCAATTTGATTACTATGTGTCTCAGCATGTTTCTCTTTGGGTTTATCCTGCCTGGGACTCCCTATGCTTCCTGGACTTGGGTGACTATTTCCTTTCCCATGTTAGGGAAGTTTTCAACTATAATCTCTTCAAATATTTTCCTGGGTCCTTTCTCTCTCTCCTCTCCTTCTGGGACCCCTATAACATGAATGTTGGTGCGTTTAATGTTGTCCCAGAGGTCTTTTAGGCTGCCTTCATTTCTTTTCATTCCTTTTTCTTTATTCTGTTCTGCAGCAGTGAATTGCACCATTCTGTCTTCCAGGTCACTTATCCGTTCTTCTGCTATTGATTCCTTCTAGTGTAGTTTTCTTTTCAGTTATTGTGTTGTTCATCTCTGTTTGTTTGTTCTTTAATTCTTCTAGGTCTTTGTTAAGCATTTCTTGCATCTTCTTGATCTTTTCCTCCATTCTTTTTCCGAGGTCTTGGATCATCCTCACTATAATTATTCTGAATTCTTTTTCTGAAAGGTTGCCTGTCTCTACTTCATTTAGTTGTTTTTCTGGGTTTTTATCTTGTTCCTTCATAGTACCTAGTCCTCTTCCTTTTCCTTTTGTCTATCTTTCTGTGAATGTGGCTTTGTTCCACAGGCTGCAGAATTGTATTTCTTCTTGCTTCTGCTGTCTGCCCTCTCAGGCTTCATGTGGTCTTATTCTCTGACTGGTCATAGTAGGTGCTCAATAAACATTTGTAGAGTAAACATTGATTACAATAAGTAGTCCAGGGAGTTTTTCTCTTTGCACGACAGTAGCAGTAGAGGGGGGCCCTGCCAGGTTGGGGTGACTGTTGCCTGAGGGATGTTTATAAAGGCCTTCTTTGGGAGTCTGGGTCTTTGGGACACTGTGATGAATCTAGAGGTGTCTGCGGTGTCCTGTGCCTCCATCCTTCTGGGCCATTAGGGGTCACTTAGCTCTCAGCATGATCCTGGGCAAGGGCATGGATCCCAGGGGTTCCAGTTGGCATAGACTATTCCCCCAGATATCAAGGCTTCTGAAATTCAGGTAGATGGGCACCTAGGAAGTGGCACTTCCTGACTCTAGCCACTGCCTGCTGTCAAGGTCATTCAATTGTTCAGTTTCATTAATGACTGTCACACATGCTAACCCATGTTCATACATACCTTTCATTATCAGCTCATGCCTATTTAGTTTCTGGGAAACTTATTATTGTAGATTGAAAGCTACACACTTGAATAGTTTATAATATGCAGATTGTTTCAAGACCTGGTGTTTATTATTGTATAAATTCTGAACTCCTTTTCTGAAAGTATTAGAAAAATGTCAATCCTATAATTCTTTACAAGATAACTACATTCCATGACAATACTGTTACAAATGTTTATTTTGAAGAAGATGCTCAGCATGTCCTGTTTACTATTCTCTTGAGATTCAAAATGTCAGTTAGGTCTCTGAGGTGAATGAATGAATGCTTTGTGCAACCAAATGGGCACCAGTAGATAAAGGGAAGGATTGACTCCAACTAACTCTGAAGAGTCACTGTGATGATACCATTCACTGTGGGAATAGGGGGTGGATGGGGGTGGAAGGGAGTGGAGGGTGGGATCGATGAACGTAAGTCCAGCAGCGCTGGAAGATTCTGAGCTGGACCATTTGGTACCTGCTGCCTCCTCGGGGCCTCTGTGGAGCCAGCTTGCAACACGTAGACCTTCTAGTCATAATCATGATAGTGATGATCGTGGGGCATAGCTATACGCCAGTCAGGGTATTAAGAATTTTCACTCCTTATAATTACCCATGAGGTGGTATTATCTCAGTTTCATAGGAAACTGAGGTCTAGACAGGTTAAGTGATGTTCTCAAGATCAGAGAGTGCATAAGTGGCAGAGCCAGCACCCCAAGCCAGGTCTGTTTGCTTCTAAAGCATGTGCTCTTAACTGTGATACTATATCACCTTCCCACAGTGACTTAGAGTTAATTAAATCACCAGTAAATGTTTATCTAGGAGCTGCTGGGTTTTGCTGCTTTTGCACTTGCTTCAACTATCTTAAGTAATAAACATGTACAAACATGCAACATACTCAGGACACACACACAGGCATTCATAGATGCAATTTTATTTCTCTAATGCCCACTCTTCCTCCCTCCCTCCCCCCATGCACCCACCCACCCACCCACTCATCCATCCATCTGTCTAACAAACACTTATCAGGACATTGTGAGGTCCCAGGGATACATCAGTGATGACATATTCCTTGCACTTGAGGAGTACATGGCCCAGTGGGGGGATGCTATCCAAGTAAACGAGCCCTTAGGATGCAGAGTGATAAATCCTGCACACTGGGGGAAGGTGCTGGGTGCCATGGGAGCACAGAGGATGGGCAACCCGTCCTGTCATGAAGAGTTAGGAGGGCCAGACAGGGGAGGTGATACCTATCTATGGTGACACCTTAGGTAAGACATCTTCTAAGGAGGGGAAAGAGAATATGTTCTCTCTCAGGGACGAGAGGGAACAATGTGCTGGTTGATCAGCTTCTTTGGCTGCAGTCAACAGTAAAAATCTGTACAACAAGGCAGCTCTGTTTTTGTCATAGGTTTCTGCTTCCCAGCTTCTTGGTGAAAGGTCCAGTCTTCTGGACTGAGGTGGCTTGGGCTCTGGTGATTAGTCATTGGCTAGCTCGTGGTCGTGGCTGGTTTCCACAATGATGTGAGGCCCTGACTGCCCATGCCCCCCTGGCCGGTGACCTTCATACCGTGTGGCATGGGTGGTTTTTTCTACCTTGAGCTGCTCCGCTTCCCTGGTTTTGGTGATGTGTCTTCTTTTTCTTTAAGGCCAAGTTTAGCGTCTCTGTGGTCACGGGTGTCCACTCCCTAATGTCCAAGCCCAGAAGAGGCTAACTGCAGAGAGAGGCTGCAGGTCTCTAGGTGGCCAGGCTGCTCTATCACGAGGAGCCCTCCATGAACCCCAGCTGCACAGAAAGTTGAGAAGGGAGGCCCGTTCTCCACATTTTTCTCGTTGTCAAGGGCGGCAGCTCCGTACTGTATCATCACCAAGATCAAGGGAACTGTGTACTAGTCCAACCTTAATCTAACTTACAGTCCCTGCCAATTTCACGTTAGCAGATTCATTTGGAGCTGGAAGTAATGGGCCACATCATGCCTCAGAGCCCGAGCAATGACTTATGTGGATGTCACCCACTGGCTTTTTATGGAAATTGTTAATAAATCAGTAATTCTATCTGCAGTGATGTTGTTGTGTTTATAAATATTTAATTTACCTCCAGGTGCCCACATTTCTTCCATCTTTGCCTTCAACTCTGTAGACATTGCTCTTCATTCTGAAGTGCTCCTCAATACATTAAGTTATCAGTAGTGGGAAAGGTTAACTCTCTCTCTCTCTCTCTTTCTGTCTCTCTGTCTCTGTCTCTGTAATATGGCTTTTTCTTTTCTTTTCTTTTTAATCTTTGTGTGATTTGGCTCGGGGCTTGGGGCTCATGCTGAGAGAAGGCAACATTTCTCGTGACAGTGATGAAAGGTTACTCCAGCTTCAGAAGGAGAACAACTAAATGTTCCAATTCTGACCTTGCATGAGTGGAGACCTGTTGTTGGCATGTGTTTTTCCCCTCCTTCAAATTAATGACATTTAGAAGCTGAAATGGTGTCTGATGTTTTCCTCCTACAGAGAAAAATCTTTGTCCTTGCCACTGACTCAGAAACCCAGTGCTTTGATTATTATAGTATGGCAGGTTGAATGGAAAGGTCTTAAAAAAGTCAAAATAGAAACACAGTCCAAGTCGAGTGTTTCTCCACTGGAGATGGGGTTCCGGCCTCACAAAAGAGGACAGCGGCTGGGAAACAGCAAAAAACTTTCTTACCGCTCAGGATCCAATGTGAGCTAATTGTTGTTATTATCTTTTTATTCTTCTGTTTCAGGAAATTGCAGCTTATTTAATAACATTTGAGAAACACGAAGAATGGCTAACCACATCCCCTAAGACAAGGTAATGTCCCAGATCTCACAGTTTTTCAAATATGTACAGTAAATGGATTGATTTTCATTGATTACCTGATTTGGCCAGTCAATTCATGGGCAAGTTCAAAATGCCATGTTCTGCCTGAGAGCTTGTGACATTGAGGTCTCAGTCATCAGCCTAAGACGGTGGTAGTGACTGCAATTGGATGGATTAAACAAAAGAGGGCAGCTGCTATCATGCAAGTTGGAAATTTTAAGCTGCTGGCTTGACGCTGGATCCTTCAGTCGGGTGCTTAGAAAAGGTTTGGCAGGCAGGACCATCAGGGGAAGTTTATTTTGGGAAAGTGCCCATCTGACACCCGTGTTCTCTAGAAACTTACTTTCTAAAAGGGAAAGTACCTCACCTGTCCACTTTCATCCCAACACGTTTTACAAACTGAAAGTCAAGTTTTTCTTGATGGTGTTAAGGTCTCCCAAATCAGAATTCACGGCTAAGTTTGCAGTTTATTATTTAGTCAATGTCCGTGAACCTGTCAACTGCCATGGACACTGAACTAGTCTCACCATTTGGGAATGGAGGGAATTGGTGAAGATTCAGCTGACTTGAGTTCTGTCAGTACAAGTGATATTCTTTTGTGAAGAATGGAGACATTGGGATTTAGGGTTGATTTTTAAAGGCAGCCTCTTCTTTCCTCCCTAGCTCTCATGTTTTCATTTTTAGTATGTTCCATTCTAGAGCTTTGGAAATACCCGGCCACTCTCTTCCAATTGCCACAGTTTTTCTATCAGCGGTGACGGGGCCAGGTGTTTAACAGCCTGAGTGGTGTTAGCTGGAGTGCGGCTTACAGGATAACTGCTCTGTGGGTTTGAATGTGAGAGGCAGAAAGCCCAGTCTGTTCCCTTTGTCCAGAAGCACCAAATTCTCCAAATTTGTTAACTGGGAGACCAGGGAAAGGGTTGGGGGTGTGTCCTCTGCCCACTTGGCCATCAGCTTGACCTGTTCATCCTTTGTGAGCCATGGAGGAAAGATGTTTCCTCAGTCTAGAAGATTCTTTAACATATTTCTTCATGAGGCTTAGGTTTTTACTGGTCAGCATCCATTAGATGAGGACAGAATTTTCCATTTTGAAGGAGGTCAGAGGATACTGAGGAAAGGAGGATTAGTTCCTGAGATCTGCATCCTCCAAGTGAGGGTAGAGGTTGACTCTGATTCTTTTACCTTTCAGCCTGAACCCCTCTGTAGGATGTCTTCAACTCCTCAGCCTTCTGAGGCTGTGATTTCCTTTGCTATAAAATCAAATGGTTTGTATCAGTCAGCTTTTGATGTGATAATGCCTTGTAAGAAACAATCTCCAAACTAAGTGACTTATAACAATACATTTTTATTTCCTGCTCATGGATCTGTGGGGTGGCTGTGGCTTTGGGTTGACTTCAGGACCACTGGAGATGTGTCTTTCTGTTGTAGAACCTAGGCTGAGGAAGCCTCCCCCTGCCCCCATCCCTTCCCTGTCTGGGACATCTGGTTCTCATGGGGGATGGCAGAGGCTTAAAAGCCCAAGGCAATCAATCCAAGGCAGGCACAGTGAAAACCGCTGGATATGATGCTGGATGTGGCATCATATGTCACATCTGCTCACAAATCCATGAGCCAAAGTAATTCCCGTAGCTGAGCCCAATAAGAATGAGGCCAAGAAGGACATTCTTTGCTACAGTGGGGTCAGAGTAGGGGCAGGGAGAATGAATGGTGATGCAGTCTACTCTTTGGTGAGCACAGCCGTGTCCTGTACTATGGAAAGCCTGGCACACTCATCTCTCCTTCCTTCTGGGGACATCTTCTTCCAGGGCAGTGGTTCCCAAACTTGAGCAGGCATCAGAATGAGCTGAAGGGCTTGTTAAAGTAACGTGCTGCACCCCACCCCCAGTTTCTGATTCAGTATGTCTGGTGTGGGACCTGAGCACCTGTTATTTCTAACAGGTTCCCAGGTGAGGGGGTGCAGCTGGCCTGGGACCTCACTTTGAGAACTGCTGCCCTAGCTTCTCTGGACGGAAGAGAGCCTGTCTGATCCCTGCTTCAGCACCATTTCCTGGCTCCCCACAGCAGTTCTCATTTCGAGCAGCCTCCAGCCGCTCCACACTCCCTTCACTCCTCAGCAAAACACTCCCTGAATCTAAGTGGAAGGAAAGAGCTTCTCTTTAGCCAGAGAGTGAGAGTTTTTGGAACGTGTCCCGGGCCAGACATCTGATTTCAGATATGCAGACACATGTCCTGTTTCAGCTGCCCTCTGACTGCACAACAAGGCGGGGATTCTGCCTCACGTTTCAGTCTGAATTTGGGTTTCCACTGAGAAGCGAATGTCACTCATGGTCATGCCTGACTCACTTGACTTTTGGGAGTATAAATAGAGCTGAGAGCCTTCCCATCCCGAGGCACAAGGGGTGCCCCGGCAGCAGAGAAGGAGTGTGGGTTTCGATATTGACAAATCTGGGTTTGAGCCTTGGCCCTGTCACTCAGTAGCTCTGTGACTTTAAGAAAGTCATTTCATCCCCTTTCAAAGGTCTACTTTTTCTTCTTCACGCATGAAACAGGGGTCAATGTTGATTCTGTCCTCACTGGGTCACGATGAGGACTGAATGAGATAGTATTTGTGATCTTTCTTTGCATGCTGTGAGGGTCCATGTCCAAGCACGGGGGTGTCATCGTCCCTCTTGTCTGCAAGGAGCTGTCCCCAGGCCTCCTGGAGGCTTTGATTTTAGGACGCACCTTCCACAATCTCTCCAGGCTTTGGAAGGACAAATTTCTTTCCTAAGGGCAGAGGGTGAAGACAGAACGTTTCCTATTAGTCTTATATTATCCAATCCGTGTTTACACTTGAAAGCGTCTTGTCCCAGGAGGGGGAAAAGTTGCTGTGATTGTTCAAGAATCTTCTTAAAGTAGTTGTTGAGTTGAGTTTGGATCTCCCCACCCCGCCTTCTCTTGTATTGAAATTAATTGACGCAGTGAACTGCTGAGCTCTTGCAAACCGGCCTCCTGGTATTAAGGAATTAATGACACCAAAACTCTGTTGAACGAGGAGGCGATACAACTTCTCTTTGCTGCTGCTGCTAATTTCATTTTAGAAAATTAATAAAAATGAGTTGCACCACTGACATTTATAGAGTTTCCTAATAAAATGATACGTTGTTTGTGTGGAGGAATCCCTATTAAATTAATTGTTGTATTCAGCTCACATATAGATGTTGGTATAGGAGCTGCAGAGGGACCCACTCCTTGTCTCCGTGGCTTGCTGATGGCTGGGGGTTATAAATAGAGCCCTTGCTCAGATCCTGCCCTAATTACAGAGAAGGTCCTGGGAGCCCCGCTCACCTGTTTAATAATGAAGTGTGCTACAAGGAGGCTCCCAGGGTTGGGGGTCCCGGGGGCAGCAGTGGCGCTATGACAGGGCTGAATGCAGATTGTTGAAACTATCAGCACCTGGGATCTTCTGGAAATGGCACCTTGAGAAATCACCCTTCAGGACGTCTTTATTTGGCACTTGCTGTGTGCCCAGCACTATAGTAATGCCGCAGGGAGACCCCAGGGGACTCCACACTCCCCACCCCACCGCGTGGATTTAGAATCTTGGAATCAAGAGCTTCCACCCTCCGTCTTGTACGTTCTTCCAGCTCCTCCTTCTGGCCTTGATTCTTTGTCACTTTCTCTGTGAGGCCCTCCCTGAACCCACAATTTAGAATCGCACCCCTCCCATCCAGCCAGAATCCCTTTCCTCTTTCCCTGTTTTCTGTTTCTCTAGTGTGCTTATCACCATCTGACACACTGCGTAGTTCCCCTATTTATTTGTTTAATTCACTTATTCATTATCTGACCTCCTCTCCCCAAAAGTAAAAGTACCACAAGGAGAGGGACTTTCGGTCTAGCTTGTTCAAGGGGCCTCCCCAATGCCTGCAGCGCTGCTGGACACACGGTGGGTGCTCCATGAATATTTGTGAAATGAATGAGAGAGTGAGTCAGGGTTTGAAGAGAGAGACCTGGGTTGACTCTCTTTTTGTCTTGTATAGATTGCCCTTGTACTGTGCTCTGGGGTACTTCTGTGGGCTTGTAACTCCTTTCAACACCTCTGCCAGGCGATGAGATGGAGAGAGGGTGTATTATCTGTCCAAGGTTGCACAGCGAATGTTGGAACTGGAATTTGAACCCAGGATTATCTTATTGCAAAGCCCACAAACTTAGCTTTGATGCTAACCCTCTGCTGGTGTGGGATTTGAAGGTGGCCCCGCAAATTGTTCCACTATTCTTTCCCACCTCCCATCTCCACGAATTCTGAACCACCCGGGAGACCCAGCCTCCCTTTGCTGGTGAGCTTGGCTGTGGGTTCCTGTGCTGGCCTCTGGAGATGGATTTAGCCCGGAGTTGCAGGCAGTGTAGAGAAGCACACACTTCCCCCGAGGGTGGAGAGCAGAGCCCAGCAGAGCACAGGCAGGCGGGCTGCAAAACTTAGCAATCCCAATAATTTATTTCTCCTCCCCTGGGAAACATGCAAACTTCCTTGGAAGCCGGGGACATGCAAAGCTCAAAATGGAATTGAAAACATTTCCTTCCCAGGAATCCTGTGTGTATCGGTTAGAAGGAGGCTGGAAAATGTTATTCATTATCTAATTAATTAATTAGATTTAAATAGATGACATCTTAATGCTGAAACACTAAAGTTCTAATAATAGAATTTTCCTATAATGAACACTAAATGCTTCTTGGTCAATAAGCAGTAAAACAGCCAATAGAGGGAGGGTTCTGGAAGGAAAGGAGAAGAAAAGTGAGACCTGAGTTTCAAGAAGACCCAAGGGACTCGGCGAGAGACCCACCCTCGCTCTCCCGGCTCTCAGGACCCTGTAGGTCCACTGCTTCTTCTGCCCTGGACCTTTCCCACCCCAGTGGTAGGAACAGGTCTTGGGTCTTCTGCCCTTTCCTCCAAAGTTCTCCCTCCCAGGACTCCAAGAACTCCAGGGTTTGACTATTAACCCTCTGTGGACCTT